CACTCGTCATTCAAACTCACATTTTCAGAATAATTCTATAAATTTTCGATTTACTAAGAGCTCATAAAATATTTTCTAAAATTTGCAATGTATTGTAGAGTAATTTCATTCATCATTGTAGTACTATCATACCGAAACTATTTCAAACCATTCAGAAAAGTTTCGTTCTACCCACTCATATAATACATACGGGCATAGCACTAATAATAAAAAAAAACTTCAAACACACCCAAAATTTGACTACTTCATTTGCTTATACATTTCTTTCTCACTTTACTTGTTTCTCAAAAATTTTTGATAGAAAAAGAACGTGTATAATTCTTTGTCGCCAATGAGAACAACATTTAAGTATAATTTTTGTTCCATAGCGCTGGCCACCTAAATAAACATACATATATATTATGTATATTGAAACAAATATTCATCCTTGAAAGCACATGCATATGTACATACGTACATATATAGGACAGATACTATATTTTCGCTTCGAAGACCCAGTGGCAAGTTAACGCAACTGACCATGGATACACCTGTTAGTCGGCCGCTAGATAATATACAATACATAAGTATGTATGTACATACACATGTATATATACATACATATGTGTGCACATTGTTCTGTATACATATATGTACATATGTTTGTTATTTTCAAATTACTTATTAACAAAGTACTTTTAGTCACAACAAATAGATACGAAGAAAAAATACTATGGGCAACGCCCGCAATATGCAAATGACGCGGCGTAAAGGTCATAAATTTGGTAATTTACTAAACAAATGAAGTATGAAATTTACATATTTAAGTTTATCGGCAATTAAATGTCACATTCCTAGCGTGTTTTGTTAAAAAATAACAAAACAATACGTGGAATTTCAGAACTTTTAAAGCTACACATTTACATGAATATATATGTAGGAGAGATATGAGATATATGATACTCTAGTTTTCGATGCTTTCTTCTACTATAAAACCAAAAAAAAAAGAAAAAACAACAAAAAAACATTTGTATATGCACATTAGGTTGAGCCAAAACAAAAATAAACCTATCGAATTCATGGGTTAACATGAACCTTTGTACATATATGTATGTATTGTATATAGGGAATAAATAATCCTGCAAGCAAAAATTTTTAACTTAATTTTAAAAAGTGTCCGCGATCATTCAAATTTTATAAATTAGAAATAAAAAAATTGGTTTTCATTAAAAATGCCATAACTTTTGAACCGTTTAGTATAACATTTTTCATATTACAGATTCTTATATAGCATAAAATTGCCTAAAAATCACGCCTACGTGGGAATTTTTTTTATTCAACTATTCGTAAATTCGTAAAACTTTAACTCAGTTTATTTATATTTTTTTTTTCAATTTAAAAATTAATATATTTTAAAGCCTTGAAAAAAATCAAAATCACATACGAGTATAATATTTTTAAGTCAACACTTCACAGCATAAAATACAAATAAATCGCTAGATTTTTATGCTGCTATTTATACTTAATTCCCTTTTTGATATGTGTTTAACCAAAATTTCTACTCTTGTATTAACTCAGGTCTCAGGTCTTCGAAGATATATTTTGAAATCCAGAGGTTTCCTTCCTTAACATCAGAAATAAATATAAAACAAGAAGTGGAATTAGTGGTTCGCATAGTCGACCTATACGATCGAAATATGGCTATGTGGAGTGTTATTCAAAACTTTTAAAATTTGTATGAAGAAATAAGAGCACCGAAGAACTTGAAAGCTTTGGAATGTCTACAATGTATCTACAAATCCCCAAATTTCACCCCCACCTATCGGTTAAATAACTGGTTAGAGCACGATGTGTATGTGTTAGTTTTCACGCTAATTCTTTCAAAGGATTGAAATTTTTGTGGACGTGATTTCCTGGTCACTTTGTAAATGAAATCTTCGATGGATTTTTGACATAATCTCGTTCTGATTTACCAATGATATATAAAGGTTGAAATAATTAATTCCAATGCACACAAAGACTGAAATATCTCAAACAAATAGCTTTCAATGACATTGTCTTGGCGACAAAGAAATTTAATTTATTAGAATTCTACTTCACCAACAATGCCGTATTTCTAAAATTCTATTTATTTACAAAAACATATATATATTTTTTTTAAATAACTTGCTCATAAGTAAATATACGTATGTATATCTATGGATGTATATAAAAGTGTTTAGGTAAACAAATCGCACATATCAAATACCACGCGCACAATAACAACTCCTCATTTAAATTTGAAGGTCAACTATATAAATTAATTAACAGTCAGAGAGGTTTAGCTCTGTATTTGGTGGGGTTGGCAGGGAATCATCTACTGTGATATATAGGTTTTTTATTTATTTTTTAATTTTTAATAAAATATTTTAAGCTGCATTTTACTTTATATGCGAAAAGCCGTGCAACATAAGCTCTGGTCTCTCAATATAAATTCGGAGCAAGAAAACCCAAACAAAAAAGTGTTTTATATTATATGATTGATTTGTCTTCGGCCAGCCGTACTTTAATTCCATTTCTTGAAAAAAATATTCCAATTAAAAAAAAAATTTTAAATTACCAAGTTGCATAAAGCATAAAGCTTCTTAACTTTTCACTTTTAGACTCCGAACATGTAAAATGGCGCAGAAACATTGACAATGGCTATTCCGTTCAGGACGAAGGCGTCCTTGGAAGTAAAGCTAATTGGCTCTACTTGAAGTTTTGTATTATCGCCAAATCAAGAAGTTGTTTATAATCATTATAAAGAGTGTGAAATATTGAAATACTATGACCTGATTTCGACCAAAATTAATGGCATTTCCGAGGAAGCAATTACAAGATTGAGCAACAATCAATGTTAACAAGTATTTAACAGAATTACCACAGAAAAAAAAACTTTGACCTAAATAAATCTATTGTCTACGGCAAATATGTACCCAAACATTATAGTGATCACACACACGGTGAGTTGTAACCCGAATTCGTGTACTTCCAACGAAATGTACCGAGCCCACGAAATACGTGATAACATACATATTATCTCTACTTGTCTATTAATTTCATATTATTAATGGCTTTAAGATTTGATAACACAAAAAGGCTCAAAGTGTTAAGTTTTTTACTTATTGTCTGCGTGAAAGATAAGGTAATTCATCTATTTCTATTGTAAAAAAGCCCATTTTTAAGCATTTTCACAAAAAAAAAAACGCCAAAAAGATAAAAAGGGGTACAAAATACAAAAAATTAAAAAATGCCGAAAATAGGTTTGTGTGTCATACATGCAAATATGTTTGTAATTTTTGGTAAAAAAAAAGTCATAAATTACCAAAATGGTACTCAAAGAGTTTGCTCGAAGAAATATTATATTATATTTGAACAGTTGTCACTTATGTGGACACACCGTATTAATCGGCACATGATTGCGATTTGCTCATTTAGATAAACTTATGTATATACACATATGTTATGAAAATTAAGGTGGATACACTAAAAATATGTTAAAATGTCGTAGTAGTTGATATTAAGTGCAATTTAATCTTGAATATTGCTGACGTGATACATGAGAAAAAAGATCGCAAAAATTTAGTATTTCGAATTTCTAAAATATATAATCGCAAATAGTTGGAAGCAATATAAAAATAAAACAAAATAATATTAATACATATTAATATGATAATAATTAATTAAACGCAAAAAATTATACGTAGAATCTGGTCAATCAGCCAAATCAACGGCAAAGCCGAATGTCCATAAAGTTATGGACCATGGTCCGTATTTGATGGGATCAGAAGGAAATGCTGTATATGCACTTCGTAAATAGAGTGAAACCATTAATGAGGAACGCTACCGAATACAACTCATTAAATTGAAGCGAGCTTTTGTCGAAGAACTTTGCGACTTGACACGAGGCAATAATTTTGATTCATGACTACGATCGGCCTCTTGTTGCAAGACCGGTTAAAAACTATTTGGAAAACAGCGGCTGTGACACAGACCTTACCCCTTCCGACTACCATTTGTTCCGGTCTATGCAGAACGCTCTCACTGGAATACTGTTTTCACCTTTTAATTTTGTCATGTAAAAAGTGTACCACCCTAATAAATTTATATCATTACCCGTAAATGTAGGTATGTTTATGGTTTGGTATATAATTATGTATATTCTAGTGTACATAATGATATCCGATTGCAGTTTTAGGTGATTGCAAATAGAATTTAAGATAATACTTCAATGATAAATAAAATTTTCTTTGTTTTAGATAGCACGTCTGTCGGCAATAGCTATTACACATTCAAGTAATGATTCATTTTGTACATAAATACATATATACCATATATAATTTTTAATACGCCATTGATACTAGCATATTCAGAACTGCACTCAGTTATTTCAAAAAGTAATGCTTTAATGACAGCTATAGTGATTCGATCTAAACAATTTCTTCGGAGATGGTAGCGTTGCTTTGGATAATAATCTATGCCAAATTTCGTCAATATATGTAACTTGAGAAATAAAAAAAATTTCCACATAATATCTTGATTTTGATCGATCTGTTGGTATGGCTATGGTGGTCCGATATCGGCGATTCCAACAAATGAGCAGCTTGTTGCGGAAAAAGGGAGGTGTGCAAACATTCAGATCGTTATCTCAAAAACTGACTTTAATCTGCTCAACGTTACACGAGCGCAAAAAATAAAATTCTAATTGGTTCAAAAAGTAGTTTTCAATTGTAAATAAATAACCAGAAAATAATTAATTTTCAAATGTTATCGCAGTAGAAAAGCAGTTCTTATCATCCGAAACTAAACCTGTTTAGTATATTCACAAACTGGTATGTAGTATACATGTGACTCGACGCGGGCAGGTGCGGCGTAAAAGGGGCCAAACAAATTACACTTTCTACGCGCTGAGTCAATATAGCGTTATGTACGTCATTTTATGCAGTACCATGTACAACATATGCATAATTAAATATTTATAGACGTGATTAGTTACTTACGAATTGTACAAGTTTCAATATGCCGGGCACTGTCGTAAAGTATTCGATATTGATTTTTAATGCGCTCAGGCCACCGCCACCGCTGGGTGCAGTTGTTTGTGAGGTAGTGGTGCGTTCAACGGTAACTACTGTTTCCACCATTTTTAATGACTTTGTTTTTTTTCCGCTTTTTTCTTTTAATAAAATATTACTGCGATGCAGAAGTTAGTACACTGAGGTTAACTAGAAAATAATAGCACAAGAGAAAAGGATTTTTTTGCAGATTAAAGCGGCAAGGTCTCGAGTTTTCTGTATTTTTTATTTATTATTATTATTATTTTTTAATAATTGCTTTATATATTTGCTTTACGCATTTATTAGAGATTCACTGACGCGCAACTTTCGCTCTTTTAAATTAAATTATTTGTACTATATACAAATGTATTTATATATTTACACACACATTAGTACTAGTGTGCATATGACTTTGTAGTAATCGACTTATGTGTAGCTAATAACCATATAGTCTCACTGCATAGTTGTAACTAACGGTTTGTTGAGTTTTTGTTTGGGCTTTAAGTTGGTTTTGGACAATGAACTCGACCGTAGCGTGATCGCAGTTTCAAGCAAAATCAAGTAAACACAAAAAAAGACAGCCGGCCAAAATATGTATGTATATAGAACACGCACACACACACTAACTAACTAGTTTGTAACTAAATGGGAATGACTGAGCCAACAGCCACAACAACAGGAGCAACTAGCAAGCACTCTCTCGGCTAACTAGTATTTTAGACAAGGCGAAAGGAATGCTAAAAACCGCGGTATACATATGTATACGTGTTGAGAAAATTATCATAAATAACTGGTATAATTTTGTTCTTCATTAATTTAAGCGATTTTTAGAAATTCCTTACGTCTTGTACTACAGTTTTCTTCACAATAAATGGTTTTAAAAAAAAAGTTGTTTGAATTGCAAAGTGCACTTTTTCGCAATGCCAAAAAAAACGTACAGGCCACTTGTTAACTACACACAAACAACAACGCGCACATACATATGTATATGTGTATGTATACATTCCCTATAACCCTTTCCAATACGCCTCTATCGTTTTAACACTTTTCTTTAAGACTCACCGTTCCGTACCGATCTTAGCCGTTTGAACGCGTTATTGCAACTGATTGTTGATTGTATTGAGTCCGCTAGCCGCTAGCAATAAGTTGTTTCGGAGTTTGGACAACCTCTCTAAGTCAAATTGTGTCGTGGGCAATTGTTGCTCATTTCGCTTCGCTTGTTTTCGTTTGTGGCGCTCTCGTTTAACTAGAGTAAATTGAAGCAATATCATTTTTCATTTTATTAATTTATATATATGTATATCTACATGTGTGGCTGTTTTGTAGTGTTACTTTTATCTGTTCTTACCTTTATATTACGACTCCATGAATGTGTTGCATCGGTGAGATTGAAATTGCTTTGGAATTCCGCAGCGAATTGAATGTTTTCGCTTTAAGTTGATATCATTGCGCCAAACGAAAGCTCTCTGTGAAAATGTAAGACAGTATTGAGATTTTGTTAGAATAATATTTCTCATATCTCTACTTAATTTACACTAAGCAACTAAATAGAAAAAATAAATTGTATAAGAAAATGTGAATATTCAAACAATTTAAATGAAGAATAAGATTAGTATTAGAAATATGTGCACATGTACCTTGCGGCGAATAATCAAAGTCCAGTATTCATTGCATTCCGCAGCAGCCCAAACAGATATCAAGATTATTGACTGAGTCCACAAAAAGAGTTTGGTTCTTTCTTGCAAGTGCATCAGCGGCCTAGTTCTTTCGATATCGCCGCCCTCCTCCTCTTCATCTCTAGATGAGCATTGTATTGCCAAAGCATTATTTGCTCGAATTGAAATATCTAAAGGCATCTAAATTGTACAATTCTGGCTTAGATCGAGATAGCTATGGTAGATCCAAAAAATCTTTGGATAGTGTTTAATTTGGGGTCCATCGATAGCTTTGTTCTTTTCCCTCCTTAATTTAATATTCTTCGAAGCACTAGTGAATATATCCACGATCAACAAATGACGCTCCATGTGTATATGTAACGCGATTAAAAACTTTTTTATTTCATTGTGTGGTCGATTCGCCACTCTCCAAGGATGATTGGGGAATAGTAGACAATTTTGAGATGCTAGCTTATTGGGCATTATTCGTTCTGGTCTTTCATATGCAGTCACATGATCGAAATTTGAAAAAACTTGTGCTTGCAATGCAATAGTCGTGTGATTTTCGAGATTTTTAATAATCCTAGACTAGATAATGTCATTTCAAAAGCTTAAACTTACTATATTATATTATATTATACATATTTTTAATAATAAAAATAGTATTTATGATAGCTTTGCCCCTTTATTTTTTCTGGGGTGCATTTGACAAAAATAATATTAGCCTGCAAAGACCGATAACGCATGGAACTGGTCCACAGATTCCTCTTAAAATAGGCGCCCATGTCATGTGTTTTTGGAGATTTAGCTCCTTCATGAGCTCCTGAGTGGAGGAAAATGCCTCTCACCCACCATTACACAAATTCGGTTACTTCGTCTCTCTCAACTTTGGATGTTGGTTTTAATGGCCACATGGAGATCGCGCTGAACCGGTAGTTCAGGCGGAATCCTTGTTTTTTAATATACTTGTACGATTCATCATCCATGTCGATGATGAGTTTTCGACTTGATCCCTCAATGTCGCTAGTAACTATTCGCCAGGCCGTGGTGTTGATGCCCTCATTTTGTGCTTTTATTAGACCTAAGGCGAAGTCCACTGATTTGTGGGCGCTCCTGTATAGAAGTGCCGTCATTTTGTGCATTTGTGGTATCTCTTCCCCTCTTCTCGTACTGAGCACTGGGCCCTCCCACCCCTCAAGTTTGGGAGCAACTTCCGTCAACCAAGTGGCGGTCTCTTCATTCTTGCAGTCGACAAGTAATAGTCCCGACCTGAAAAAAACTCCGCAAAAAGAGAGAGCGTTCCTCCACCCCTTCAACACCTCGTCCATGATTTTATCTTGAAGGGCGGTGAGCTGTTCGGGCGCCATTGCTTCCGCAGGATAGTTAAGAGGTAGCACAGCTATCCGAATGTCTTTTTGAACCTCCAAACATCTGCGCTGTTTCTCGACCGCATGTGTAGGTTTTGAAGCAGAGTTTTGTTCGCCTTTCAACTGCGTCGTCTGTTGATGTAGATACTGTCTCTGCTTTTTTGGACTGGGTAACAACTCTGGAGTTATCTGCTCGCCTTTTCGTTTCTCAGCATGACCTGTTTTGTCTTGATAAGTCGCCGATGCGCCTAGTACACTGCCCCAAATTGCGGTAACTGGGATAATTTGCTGTACCGCGGGCACAATTTTGAAATCTTGTTGACAATTAGTGGCAGTTGACTCTCTATGGTTTGCTATACTGTTCCTGCCCAGCGCAAGCTCATTTGCCTCGTCAGGAGTTTTTCCCGCTTGCAAGTGTCTGAGGTACCACTTGACGGTAGCCCCACTCATTCCCACTCTGCGGGGATCGTTCAGCCCTCCAGGACAGCCCAAAGCTGGTTGAGGAGGCTTCCTTCCTCCCCTTTTCCTCTTTTTCTTCCTCTTAGATACCCTCCCAGTAATGGGCTGGTGTGATTCTACCGATTTCGAGCAAGGTATTGTTGTGCTAGTGGGCGGTATTGTGGTGTTCCCTTCACTATCATTCTTCACGTTAAGCGTGCTTGCGGCAGGAAATTCGCAAGGCGTTCCTACCACCAACACACTGGTGGAGGGCATATCGTCGTCCCTCGCTTGCTCTTCGGAGAGCGACAGTTTTTCTTCTGAAAAGACGTCTATGAAACGGGATTCATTAGTAGCCGACGGGGTGCACCCGTCGTTTATGTTATTATCTTTGTTGTTGTTGTTTGAGTTTTTGGTGTTTTCGTTGTAATTCATCTTGTTCTTACGACCATTAGCTCGTAATGTTGAGCATTTTGGTCTATTATTTCTTAGGGGGAACTAAAAGTCCACCGCACCAGAGCCCCATGACGCGGTAAGGCCACCGTTACTTCCCAAGGCGGCCAGGTGTTGGGAAGGCTCCGTTAGAATACAGCCGAATTAATCTCCTGGCTGCAAATCATCCAATGGGCACGGGAGTCGCATAACACCCTGGATTAGGAGGTGGCAGCTCTTGGTCGTCGTCCGCAAGCTATTTGTGGCAATATAATAGAGCATTCTTCATAAAATATTTACTCCCATGGGGTAAATCGGACTTGCGTTACGACTAAGCCCCTGCACCGCGACAAGGTGTCTGCCTTAGCAGGAGAAGCGGAAAATGAACCTCTGCGATACTTACGAGTACCACAAAAAGACCTCGAAGGCATTTTCCGGCGATTCACCAGGTGATAGGGAAATCACTAATAGCATAAAAGAATACGGTAACGATTTTTTTTATTGAATTACTTTTAAGTCTAGAGAATTATTGCTGGAGAAAATGATTTTAGTCTGGTTCGTCTGCTTGATATACATACGAGGTGTATTCAAAGGAAAAGGTGAATTTTGATTTTTCGCGGGCTGTGTACATTCGATTGTCAATATTTTGTTTTTGTTATAATCGGGCACATATATTTATCATGTAGGAGCCAATTTCAATTAGTAGTTTGTTAGTCACGTTTTTGTGTACTCTTCGATTTTTAACTTTTGAAAGAAATTGATGAAATTTGTATTAAATTTTGCCTTAAAAATTAAAAAAAAAGTGCTCCAAGGCACTTGAAATTTCTACTGTGGCATTCGGTGAGTCCACTTTGTCTCAAAAAAGTGTTTATAAGTGGTACAAGCGTTTTGCAAAAGGACGAGAATATGTTGATGACGATGAGCATCCTGGTGGTGCGACCACGTCAACAAGCGAAGAAAACATCGAGACAGTGAAAAAAATTGTTCTCGAAAATCGTGGAATCACTATTAGGGAAATAGCAGGTATTAGTAGTATTGTACTATTAGTTAGATGGATGTTAGAGGGATTAGTATCCCTCAGGAGTTGTTGAATGACGTCAACAACGATCCGGGCTTGCTCAATCGGGTCATAACTGCTTCTGCTGTCAGAATCGAAGAAGGAGCTGATGGTCATACCGAAAAGCGCATTTCAGAAGTGCATCGAGGATTGGAAAAAGCGTTGGCACAAGTGTATTATATCAGAGGGGGCATTACTTTGAAGGCGAAAACATAGATATTAATGAACAAATAAGTACTTTTCATAAAAAATCTAAAACTCACCTATACCTTTGAATACACCTCATATGTAGCTTTAGTAGTTTGGAAGCTATGTAAAACTTCAAAGTTTTAACTACAATACAAATTCCCCCCCTGTCGCGATTCTCTTTTACAAATTACTGTTTTGCAACATATTTTGTGACTTAGTTATCACTTTATTATTTTTTACTTATCGATATCTTTTGGGCGTGGCGACAGTGCGAATTTGCCTATTGGCTATACCAACCTCCTCAGAATGTCCTGGCAAATGTGTACCAAGATTTATTAAGATATATCATTTTTACCTAAGTTATCGGTTGTGCGGGCAGATTGACCGACATCTAGAAACGGTTCGTTCGTCATCCGAATCCTTTAGATATATTTAACTCTATATATATCGCGATTAGTTCTTGATACTACAAATAACGGTAAACAAAGCTATAATTGTCCGTAAAACGGTATTTATAAACAATATTTTTGGTCTTTCCATATCCATCTGTTGACCCACATATACTCACACATTTTCTTAAAACGTCAAGGTGTTAACGATTTCGCTGCACAATCAGGACTTATAATCAACATCACAAAGACAAAAAATTATGTACATTAACACAACTGAAACGCCAGTCCTACAAATCGCCAGCCCGACCCTCGAAGAAGGCGCTAAGTTTTGCTATTTCGGCAGCATTGTCACGAAAACTAGTGGATAACTAGCTCATATACGCAATCGGACATCCAAAGGTTGCGGTGCCTTCGACATGTTGGCTAAAGCTTGGAGATCGACACATATATATGTACATATGTATATCCAGACACACGTAGCTAAAGTTTTGGAGAAACACGGTCATTCATGTAGAGAAATTGGAGCGTTAAATAAATCTGAATATAATTTGTTTATTGAGGCGGCCCTATGTACCACCTAGGCAAAATGGAAAAATAATCTTGTCTTTCTACAAATGAAATGTCAGATGTCTTATACATATGTTACAAGGGTATACAAGGTACAATTCAAAAGTTCCAGGAATTTTTAAACAACGCGGCTTCTAGTGGCGCCATCTGTCTGAAAATGTTATCCCTCAATTGTGTATTCTTCAGTGTTGTATAAAATTTATATAACAGATGACTTGTATAACAGCTGAGATAACGCGCTACATGTGACATTACATTTGTAGTGTCGGTCGGAAAATGAGCATCGAACAAAGAGCCAACATTAACTTTTACCAAAACTCATCAAATGATGAAGCAAGTTTATGGCGATGATTGTCTATCCCGTAGACGTATTCACGAGTGGTTTAAACGTTTTCAAGAGGAACGGAGAGATGATCAATATCCGCAGCGTCGATTTATCGTATTTTGACAGAAAATTTGGGCCTCAGAAAGGTTTATGCTCGATTTGTCCCGCACACTTTGAAACAACACGAAAAAGACCTCAGAATCAGACAGATTTTTTGACCAAAAATCGCATTCATATCATCAACCATTCACCCTATTCGCCTGATATGGCACCCTGCGATTTTTATTTGTTCGGAAAACTACATTTGGCCATGAAAGGAAACCGGTATGCTGACGTTGATGCCATCCAAAAGGCGACGACCGCCATCCTCAACGCTATACCGACAATTGACCTAAAAAAGTCATTCGATAACCTTCCTGAACGTGCAAAACGTTGTATTAAGGCGGAAGAAGACTATTTTGAAGGCGACCAATAAATTTTTCAAAAAAAAACAATTTATATTCGTTTTTTAATAAAAGTCCTGAAACTTTTGAATTGCACCTTGTATGTACATAAATAAACATATATTTGTTACCCCTCGAAAAATTATTTGTGCGTCTGACAATGATTTTTGTTCCACCAAAGGCGTAAGGAACAAAGCAACAGACCAACGTAAGCAAATATCCTAAAAAATGTCTTGTACTAGTTTCATAATATTTGGCTTTTCCAGAAAACCTACAACTCGTTACAATTAAAAAAGGGTAATAGCGGCAGTAAAAGGTATATGTATATTTTGTCCAATTTTTTCATTTGTTATAGTCCTTTCGTTTTCTTATATGGAACGTCAAATACAAACTTTTCTTCATGACAGTCAAATCTACGAAACCGAAAGGAAGAATTAAGGATGTGTCCCCATTACAATTAAAAAAATTATATTTTTTCATATTTCGATTGGTTATACCCAGGGTTGCAAATAATGCATTAAAAAAATGATTTAATTAACATTTCAATTAAATTTTTTTTTAAATTTAGTAGTCCCATAACGGGATTAAAAAAAGTTTTATTTCGCATACCGGATTAAAAAACAAATTTTGATCCCAAAAACCGGATTAAAAATTAATAATAAAAAAATGTTTAATCCTAAGTATATAATTACTAATTGAAAAAAAATTTCGCGTTCACTCAAATCAAAAAGTATTATTTTCAATTTTTGATCTCGAACATGTTGGATTAATAATCTTTAAAATACAATTTTCTATTCTTTTTTTTTTTTATTCTTAAAAAAACGCGCTATAAATTCGTATTTGGATATATTACAATGTGTACAGTGTAATTACAATTGAGTTAATTGAAAAATGTGTGCAAAGTAGAGCTTTTCAAATTATTCGATTAACCAGAAAACCGATTATCCAAATATCCGGTTTATAACCATTCGTATGAATACTAACCGAATAATACTATACGAATAGTCCTTCTATTGCGTGCGAGTATTTGAATAGATGAAAATTGTTTGAAATTCAAGCAGCCTTTGATTTGTGCACAAAATTTTATTATTTTAATATTTCACTTATTTCAATAAAAATAATAAAATGAATGAACTATTACTATTCGAATAGTTGACCGGTAATCGGTTAGTCGAAAATAAATGCTTAATCGAATAGTCGACGACTTACGACTATCTGGATAGTGCAAACCAAATATTATTATTCGAATAACGTCGTATCCGGTTAATCGGGTTAGTCGATTAGTCGAATACAAATAACTCTAGTGCAAAGTGTGTTAAATATATATAAATTATTGAAAAATATCACTTTCCGTTCACGAATTTTTCATCTACGCATTAAACTAGGACGATTAAAATAATATATAATTTTGGCGGGCTATTTCGTTGGGGGGCCTAAACTTATCCCTGCCTAAACTATACATTTACCTAAACGTTTTGCTTAGATTCTGGCAGATCATTTATATTAATTATAATTGTTGCGAGATCTTAATTTTATTGTAGACCAGATAAAAATTGGGGTTCATTCCGCTTACATATTACATGTCTGACGGGTTTTATATCAGTAAGGACAATTAAATTGGTAGTACACTACAAAACTAATTGGGAAGAATTATATGCCACTCCGAGAACAAAACCCATATTCGATTGTAACTAAAAGTATTCTGTGCCCAGTGTAAATGACCTACAATGGCCCAACCAAAAAAAAAAAAAAAGACAACAACGAAATTAATTATGCGGTTATGGTAACTTACACGTGCAATTATATCTACAGTATTTTAACGGTTTAGAACAAGTTTAATTCAATAGCATATTTTGTAATTTTATTGTTTTTAATGGCACAAAAAACTTTCACCTGAACAATAGTATAGAGAGAAGAGTTTGAGTGATATTTGATAAAATGTTTTAAAGAAATGACGAGACGTGATGAAGAATACAATAATCTGTTCAACTTACCAGGTTCCTTAAAACTAATTCAATAATTATTTTATATTAACATCGGTTTTTGCACTGAAACCGCTAAAGCGTGATTACATTAATTAAGCTTTAACAATGTTGACTATGTTAGCACATTAATTTATCCCACCAACTCTTAAACAATTGCCATTTTATATGAATACGGGTCTAGTCTTAAATATTAAATTCTATTTATATACATACAAACATATGTATAAATTCACTGCAAATAACTTCATATTATATATGTATATGAAAACCAGAGGAATATTTTTACACAGTTAATACTTGTGCTTTTATGTAAAGAATAAATATAATTAATATACAGTTATTTATTATTAGCTAATGGCATTCACTTTTAAGTACATATTTACATACACATATAAAAAAATACTGGTATATTTTTCAAATAAATTTCCCTTGTAGTGTATATGTGCTGCATCCAACATAATCGTATGATAAACAAAGAATAATGGCAACTCTATAAAATAAACACTCGTACCGTGACGTGAAAATAAATTTACGCACAGAAAGTCGCTACAGAAAAACTGTAATACTTTTACTTTACGTTACTGTTTCACCGACTACGTTAGTAATAAATATTTACTAAAATGGATAATGTAAAATTAATAAGGCTTGTGAAACAACACGAATATCTCTATAACAAATATAACAAGGATTTTAAAAATTTAGACAGAAAGAAGATAACTTGGCAGCGGATAGCTCGTGAGATGGGCATCAATGGTAAACAAGCGAGTTAATAAAGATAATTTAATTTATTTATATTATATACATATTTTGTTTTTTGTTCTTATGCAGAATCAGAATGTATACGCCGATGGACAAATTTACGTGACAAATACACTAGAGAAAGTAGGAGAATGACTGCACTTGTAAATAATGATATGACAACATCACAAATCTGGCCTCTATTTGATGATATGGATTTTTTAAGGCCACATATAGTACCAAGATCGTAATAATCAGTTGTTGCAGAATTGTGTTTCCTTTACTTACTTTATTGTTTTTTTTTTTAAAGGATTCGACAGACAGTAAATTTTGGGCTGAAAGCTTTTGAAGAATCTAGCAATGGTGATCAAGAAACATATATCGTGGAACAAGACGATACTGTCGACTGTAAATATGTCAATACAGAGTCATTCGAGTTTAAAGGTTCGGAATCACCAATATCAGAGCATGAGATGGAACATGAAGAAGTGGAAGCTTTTCTTCCAACCGAAACGCATTCTTCGACGCTGCAATCAAAAAACCAGATTATTGGCCAGACAAACGAACTAAAAGACCCTCATACAATTTCGCCAAAATTTGCATTTCAGCAAATAAAGGGCAAAAAACGGCATTATCAACCTGACGTTGAGAACGAGATAAGTTCTGCTTTGGAGATGTTCAAACAAGTATGTGGTGAAATAAAAACGACCCATCGAAATCCCGCTGTGCAAGGTTTCGGTCAAATGATTGTGGAGACTATAAGTAGTATGAGTGAACGGAAACAAGCATTCGCTATGCAAAAAGTTACTGAAATAGTAATGAACATAAAAATGGAAGAAGCGGTGAACAAAGAATAGAAAAATTCATAATAAGTGACAATATTTTAATAATTAGTTTAAGATTTAGTGTATTAGGTCAGTAAAATATAAACTAAGTTAATCGTTCATTCACTGTGTCAATAATGCATATATGACGCCATTTCTGAAATTCGACAATTATTACTTACTTTCTTACTACTTAAAATTTCGTCTTATCTGAATCATATGACTTACACTTACTTAATTCTTGAATGTCTGCATTAACTTATGAACAACATATTCTTAATAATTGAAAACAAAATGATAACACGTATTTTTGTTTATTAACATGAACAAGCGAAATGAATTACTTTTTTTTAAAGGTGACAACTTTCTGCTTAAACAAATATTTTGAATTATAATTAGTAATACACATTCAGGGAAAGTTACATTTTATTTCATAGTATTTCCGAAATATTTTGTTTTTTTTACCTTTCCTGCGACCGTAGATAATTTATAAGCTCCAGATCTCTAACCATCAAGGTGACTCTACGCGCATGCAATGCCAATAAATTTGCATCCTCCAATCGACCCTCAACATAAGCTTCAGTGGCTGTTTGGAGCGCCTCAAAAGCGGTTTGTGTTATATATTGGACATCCGTACCTAAACTTAATAAAATTTCACGTACGACACGAGAAAACGCGGCACGAGATATCATAAAATCCACACGACTTGCTAGTTGCTTATAACTTTTCAAAAAGTTTCGATCCGAAATGCCTTTTCTGCTGCGCTTCACCGGCTTATTAGTCTTTGGCCGTTGTAGAGGACCAATTTGGCTTGATTCCACCACACTGCCCTGGGAACGTAGTCTTTGTGAAACGTTCGTTCGGTGGTGGCTGTGGGTGGGCTGAAAACCTCTTTCTAGATCTTGGTCCAATTCGCTGCTGGTATCTGTCTCACCTAAATCTGTTGACGGACGTCTTGGCACTTCTTTCATTGAAGAACTCTTGTTCTTAAATGATTTGGGTCCTGGTTTTGTAGGTGGTCGCATACTGTTCCACTAGTTGATCCTACTTCCTTGGTAAAAGCAATCAATGAATTTAATTAAATTCTAACACAAATCTCAAATTATTCGCCAATGGAGTTAATATATTTAAACCACGTAAATAGATAAACAAATTCGCGCTTCACAAGTTTTACGGCTACAGCATCTACATATGCTACTTGATAGCATTGCCAGTTGTGATAAAATTTAAAGAAAGTTTTAACTTCTAATAAAAGTTTATGCAACATCTATTTAAATGAATATATTAGATTAAATAATTTTCTTTAGAATAAAGAGAAATCATGCGTTAATTTTTAATTTAATTTTTTAAAGAAATTTTAAGGTTTTTTGCAGTTTTAAATCAACACTTTCAGATATATTAGCAACTCTAAATCTTTGTTAAATCGTATCGTGACGCAAAAGAAAAATTTTTCTACGATCATAAAGTCACTGCATTAAGTTCAACTACATTAAGTATACTTAAAACTTTAATCAACTAATCGTTTTTTAAATACTGATTTTAATAACAGTTGACAATGGAGGACTCAAAACTTGTAAAACTAGTTAAACAGCATGACTGTATTTACAACAAAAGTAATAAGGATTTTAAATCCATTTCAAAGAAAAAGGCTGCTTGGCAGCGCATAGCTCGCGAGATTGGAGTTCATGGTATTGTATAGCACCCAAATGTCGCTATGCAATTGACAGTATTTCAACATTAATGATATTATAAAATCAGAACAGGATTGTATACGTCGTTGGACGAATTTGAGGGAACGATTTACGAAAGAAAATCGTCGGGTTAGTGCACTTGCTAATAATGGTATGACTACGCCAAACCTATGGCCGCTATACAATGAATTGTCTTTTTTAAAGTCACACATAATACCTCGAGTGTAAGGAAATGTTCACATAAGAATGAATTTTAAATTAAAACCATGTTTTTATGATAGAAACCGTCAGAAATGGATATTTACGGCTGAAGGTAAGGAACCACAAATGGATTATAGGGCGGAATCTTCAATGGATGAACAAGAAGATACAAATGAATATGAATGTATTGCGGAACCGTTACAATTTAAAAGTTCTGCATCTATCTTGTCCGAGCCGGATACATTAGAGGAAGAGGTTGAGGTTTTCATACCTGACGATACGCGGCAATCATCACCAACGTTTAAATCAGAGGTACCAAAGGCAAAATCGTATCATACACACCAAAACAACAATTTGAAACAAAATTATGAGTCGAATGCGAATCATGATTTATACGCATCTTTAAAAATGATTAAACAAGATTATGACAGTCTGAGATCACGTAACCAAAATCCTGCTGTACAAGGTTTCGGTCAAATGATTGTGGAAACTATAAGTGGAATGAGTGAACGGAAGCAAGCAATAGCTATGCAAAGAGTAACTGAACTGGTAATGAACATAAAACTGGAACCCGAAAGTTAATAAACAAAAAACAGGCGGAAACGTTAACTTCGGCTGCACCGAAGCTATAATACTCTTCATAGATGCTTTTTTATTAGCCAAAAAGGTGTAAGGTAATCTATATCTTGATTTTGTTCGATTAGTTAATATGGCAACTATATGCAATAGTGGTGCGAACAAAACAATTGATTCGGCGATTGAAGCGCTGGTTATATAATAATCCATGCCAAATTGTGCAGAAGCCTACATAAATAAAAAAAGTTTTCCATACAGAAACTTGAGGTATAAATACATATTTTACAACTGATCTTAATTAAATATTAATATTGTTTAATATAATTTTATAAACATATCAAAAATGTTAAATAAAATATAGTTCAAAAACTTATAAACTATCTGATATACAATCCAATGTACATATCCGAAATAATAAAATAGTTGTTTAATTAAAGTAAAAGCTTCAAAAAATTCATGTCATGTAACCATCCGACCAGAGTTAGTTCGAACGCATTAGCATTAAATAGAAACCGTGAGTGAAAACAACTCAGCTATCCATTTAATCCCGACGTCGAGTTTATATGCCACATAGAACACAACGCCATTTCTCCCAAAGATGAAAAGTGACAATTTTCAACAAATCATATGTTTTCATATATTTTTGTAATTTGCAGGCTAGAATTATGCAAAGGTTGGGTTTATACCCGGATTAAAGAAAACACTATTATTTCGTTTAGTTTTTGCTTTTTCACTTTAATTGTTCTGCATAAATTTTTGTTTTGAAATGATTAGTAATTTTTATATTTATTTAACGTGTTTGTTGGTTGTGTAGCAATTTTGTAGTTATTTGTAAAATTTCTTTAAGAGTAAATAAACTGTTGTGGTATTTTTAAAGACAATTTTGTTACTTAGCTGATTTTGAAATGTTTTTTTAGGTTATTGAATTCTTTGTTGACACTTAGAAGTGAAATTATATATAAATACATACATTAAGAGGGGCAATCGGCGTTATTTACTCTTTGTCATTATTCACTATTCGACCATTTTTGTTATGCACATACTTTAAACTGAAATAATATTAGCAAAGGCTGGCGAATAATGAATTGTAACAAAAATATACCCCAATCTCAGTATTAGATACCAATATACCGCATATTACATGAATACACTACATCCGCATACATCTGCTATATATATATTTATATTGAATTTTTTCTTCAGATCAATTTTTTTCGTTTTTTAATTTTACAGATTACAAAAACTCAAGCTTGTAATAGCAATTTTTCTTGGAGAAAAATGGAACAAGCTATCGCACGACTTTTTACGTGATGCACTGCGTTTATATATAAATAATTACTTATCGCTTTTAATTTTAACACTAGTTCTGAGTTTTCGCGAATGATAATAAATTAAAATTTAATAAAAAAAATTTATTTTTTCTTTGTGGAAATTAAAAATATGTGTTTAATAAAAAAAAATTATAACAGCAGTGGTTTCAAAGTCTCCTTAAGTATTTTTATTTCTTTTGTTTAAAAATTTTCAGTTCAAAAAGTTTTAATAATTAAATAAATTCTAAACTTTATATTAATATTTTACTGTAATAAAAAGTGTGACAAATACCAAATATTTTTACTGCTTTACTGCATTTTACTGTTTTGTATACTGAGTGACTCCAACTGCAACAAAACAAAATACATACAAAACAATAGTTGCGCTTAGAACTTTCGCATGCCACACAAGTTGACAACAAATATAACTGCAATTTTGCTAAATCTATATAATTTGTATATATCATTCGAATGTTTGATTTCAATAATATATTTAACAAATAATGAAGTGTGTTAGCCATTGTGTGGTTGATTACATGTAATTATTCAGTTTTTGCTATAGTAACTAAAATTTATAATAATTATTATTTAATTTATTTTCTGAGAGCTGCTTCCAAATTTCTGCTGGTAGTATCTACCTTTGAAAGGCCTTATGATTTTTAAGAAGTTCTAAACGCACATAAAGCAATTCCGACTATTGGTTGGTCAAATTTAACGAATGCCCTAGTTGCACAATCCGTTAAGCGCATACCGTAATCGTTTCTAAGATAAACAGTCTAGGTAAGCAGAATGATATACATTTTTATATAGTATAAAGGAGATTCCCTCAGCGGCATTTCACAAAACTATTGAACAGAATATTTCAAAAACGAATAGTTCATAACTACACAGTTGTTTTTTTATTGGTTTACAGCGTAATTTGGAATGCGTAAACAGCCAAAATATTTTTTCAAATTCCTTTTCATAAATTCCATATTGATAGATAAAAAATATGATTTTGTAAAATTTTCTCCCAAAGTGGCCAGATCAAATAAATAAACTGATTCCAATTAACAATCAAGTTATTAATGTTTTTTTTAGATATAATAGTCCGGCAAAATTAAACAGAGAATATGAGTAAAGTTATATTCATTTACAACGAGCGGAAAGTTAGTAAAAATGTAAAAAAAAAAACATGATTACAAATAACATACTAAAATTCCTCATCTTTCCGATATGTGGAAAAAATATACTGGAGGTGAAAGGTCACAAAAATTGTAGATCATAAAATTATCTATAAAATATGTGTGAATACTCTTTTCCTAAGGCCTAGCGTTTCTGAGATATAATGATCGTTATATGCACACATTTTTAAGTCACATATGAGTACACTATCTCTTAGCGCGTTTTTTTTACATTTTTCATAGATAATTTTATGATGTATAATTTTCGTCTAAGGTAATTTTTTGACTCAACTCACCGTTTCGTTGGAAATCGGTAAAAAGCAGGTTTTTTAACCTCCAACCTCGAATAGTTTTTTCCACATATTGAAACGATGAGTATTGAGATTTTAGTATGATATTTTGAATCATGTGTTTAGCATATTCACTAACTTTCAGCTTGTTGTAAATTTGTGTAAGCTTGAAAGTCGGTTTTGGCCGGACCGTAAGCTGATTATTTTGCAGAAAATTCGAGCTTAAAAACTGTGTTTTTGTTTTCGAAGAAATAATTCGATTTTACATATACAAATAATTACTTTGATATAAAAAAGTGCCTCAAAAGCTATTTTGAATTTTTTCATGGCAAAAGCGCTATTAAAAGTATTTTTTAAACATATTTTTTAGCACATGACTCAATTATATAAGTTGTGTGACGTGAGAGACTGCTTTTTCTTTTGAAAATATAAAATAAGCCAAAAAACTTTTTAATGTGTATTCTAATGAATTTACATTTTGATGGGCTATCGGCACAAGCTTATATATTTGAATCATGGTTAAGGAGCCTGTTTTCAAATATACCAGACGGTATCTTAATAATAACACCATTGAAAAAGTGTATTTATTTTAGTGACAACGAAAAAGGCTTTTGTATAAATTAAAAAAAGCATTATATACAATCCCAATATCAAGCTGCAGTTGGTATTTTGTGCGAAAGTTGTGGCATGAACGAATTTTGAATACACTTTTGTTCAGTTTAACGGACTTACTAGCATCTTTACATATGCATTTATATATGTGGATATATAAATAATTTTATTCTTTTTTGTTTATTTTCGAAGATACCAATATCCTTGTTGCCACTGTACTTTGAAACTTATCGCGTACACGGTAATGCTTGGCTTTTGACCAAATATGAATAGTTTTACGCATTCATCGGTACTTTATTTGCTTCTTTTAGAATCTCCTCAATTTACATAGATAGCTCTATTCTTTTAAGTTTATATTAATTATGCACAGTTTTAGAATTGAAATTATCGTGTTTTCTAAGTTACATTTAATATTTATATATATATAAAATTACAGTATACTTTAAGCTTTGAGCAAAAATTATAAAAATTAGCATATAAAAATAATAAGAATGGCAATTTCGCCAATATTGCCAAGCTCTTATTTATAATTACGCTAATGCAAAATCGTTTATACTTGGAACACAAACGCATGAGAACGTCTTAAAATTGCTTTGATAAAACACATGCAGACGCCGACTATTCTAAATCGCTGCCAGAAGGGATTGATTGTTCGCTTGAGCAGCGTAAAAATGTGCTCCTGCCTAAACGTCGCTTTTGAGACGCCAGACAAATGTTGAACCAGCGCCGACCCCAAAAAGAAGCTTTGCTATAATTATCTGCGCTTGTTATACACATTGCTTCCGTAATTAATATTATTCATTTGATGCGTTGCAATTTCAGCGCTTATGAAATCAATTGCAAATTGCATTTATTGCATTATTAAAAAAAAATAATAATAATAATAAACATATATTAAAAAAAGTAAAATAATTACTATAAATCAGAAGCATGTTAGGAAACAACGAAATAATCAATACAAGCGTCACACATGTTTAAACTTAGCCAGAGTTAGCAAGACGATCATAAAAATATGCTTTCTTTTTCTTTTTTTAAGTTGTTGCGTTACATAAGTCTAATATGCTTTGACTTCCTTTCTTGCTAGCTTTATGTATTTTAAGTTTGCTTTAAAATTTGCAAATATTTTAATCTTCTACTTGAGAGTTTCTCATTACTTAAGAGAATTATACTTTTCAATGAATCCGTTAATTTCGCTCGTTTATGTTTAAAGGGGTTGTGGGTTAGTTATACACACCCTTTGGGATTACGTTTCATTACACACGTCATTTTTGCTTACATTCATATAAGTTTCACTCATTTCATTTCACTTATAAAAAAAAACTGTATCTTGTTTTTGTTGCTCATTCCCCCCTCCGATTGTTCAGAAGCGCACTGTGGTGTTGTTGTTCTTATACTTGTGTCTTGCTAGTCGTTTCAAAATCATACAATCTTTATCGCCTTGCTTAACACTCGCTTTGTGAATAATCCATTTCTTTTTTCGCACTTCTCGTCAGACGATCTAGTTCGGCTGCTGCATCCGAGCGCATTGCCAACTTGTCAATGGCGCCATCAGTGCCATTGGTACGTGGTGTACTGCTAGCGTTGGGCGCATTGGGCGGGGTGGCTGGTGTGGCAGGTGAACCGGATTTTTTATGCAACAACGAATTGAAGAAGTTGGCGAGCACACCTTCATTGCCCGGTGTAGCTGGTGTTGGTTTCGCGTTGACCTTTATTGGTGAACCCTGCCCGCCGGAACCGGGTGTGCGTGGTTGCATGCCCTTATTGCCGCCTTGACTGCGCAACGGTGAATCGCCGCGCATTTGACCGCCCTGCTTGAGGATCTCCTGCTGCCGCAATAAGAATGTCTGTTCGTCTTCTGTTTGCACCTCGATTTCACGATTGGCAACAGTCTAGAATTATAGTTATTTATATTGAAATTGAATTATTAATTAGTAAAATAGTATTTGCTTACTTTTCTGGACTGCGGTGGTGAGATAATGTCTGTATAGTAATCCTCTGCCTTACATGATTGCATATTCTCATACAAAATACTTATTTTCTTCAAGCTATCCCAACCTGCAGGACTATTTTGGTAGAAATAAAATAAATGTGTTTATAAATTGGAAGATAATTCTCCTTAAAAAAAAAATATAATTACATTAAAACGGCATCTTTCTCAACGAATAGCGCAGGTGTTCGGAATGGTAAGCCATAAATTCGATGTGTCAAATATTTATAGAGGAGATCACAGTTTTTGTCTTCTTTAACGCTTGTGTAAAAAAGTGATGTGCCATGCTGTAAGCAAAAGCGACGTATCCACTGCTGTATGAAATCAAAATGTTCATCTCGATAATCATACTCTTTCTCCAGCGTTGTCATGTAGTCCGTCTAGGAGTAAAAATTCTCTTATCATTACCTTTGGTATTTCATTTGTTATATACATACCTTTGTGACCACTACAACAATATCCAAACCAAGATTTGTTGTTAACGCCCCCTCGGTAAGTGGCAGTAGATCGTCGTCATCTATCGAATTATTTCTCATCGTACGTTTCACTGGCGAGCCCGGATCCAAGTCATCGCCCACCTCGCAATAACTTTGCCACGTAGTAATTAGCCGTTGTCGTGCTTCTTGTTTCTCTTGTGGTTCCAACTTCAAGCTCTCAATGTGATCTGAGAGCACTTTAATCCAATGATTCAATTGTTCCAGCCATGCCCATGGCTCTGTCATTGATACTGTGAGTATGACGAGGGTATGTTCGAAGTTCGTTTCATTCAAAGCGTAACGCAGGAGGTTTGTGTGTCCTGGATCGCCATCCAGAATCCAAACGCCTAATCGTGTTGTGTCTGTTGCGCAAAAAGGGTAAAGTACATTAGTGAATTATAAAAAAAACATTTTGTTTGGAGTTAATACTATAGCCTTTCGCCTAAGAATTCCACTTTGTTTCCTTTCCAGAAAAGACAAGTTTACGTTGACATCCTTAATCACGATTCTTATACAAGTATCTACCATATACTCTAATTACAGGTTGCTGTCCCTCGCCCTCTCTTCTTTGCGGGATTCCTTGATGTTATAGAAAACCACTAAGAAAGAACGTGCTATGTCGTCCGCCAACATAAGTCCTTGTATTCCGGTATCCAAATTAGGTGGATCCGATTGCGTGCTAATAGATTAGTTTTACGATCTCGTAAAACGAAATTGCATTGAGTGCAGCCTGACCATACGTTCAGTATAGAAATACAATTGCTGCACAAATTGTGTTGAAGATTAAGCACACACATACACACCGGACCGATTACGTACACTTCCCCTAGAAAATTTTCAAAATTTCCATATATTTCTACATTCGCACGAAGAGCCGGATTCTTGGAGCCACTATGGGCAATGTCTTTGCTGATTTCGAGCCATCGGTATACCACCGAATGACTTTGAATTGCAAATTTAGAATTGTCCCAGTGCAATTTGCTCACCAGAGTATTTACGCAAGCTTTTCCGCAAGTTCTAATCGGTATATATGTTCAAAAATAATTTCGAAACTCACCGTTATCCGATAGCAAAAATGTAAAGGTGAGCATACATCGTTGTAACGGAAATAGCCTCAATAATGGCCAAAATAATTAAATCAGTCTTCAGTTCAATTTGATAACTAATGTACTTCGGAAAACTCGCAACGTACATTTTTAATATTTTGTAAAGTTTCCAATTTGAGATAACTTTAGTAAACTTAAATTGAACGCAAATGCGATTCTCCAAAGGTTAGACAAAAATTGGAGAAAAGGTTGTGAGTTCTAATTGAGAGGTTTTTTTTCAATATTTTTTGAGTTTTGATAAGAAAAATTTATGAATGTAGGTGCACAAAAATGTTAAACTGCTTCATTGACCTAGAAGAGGGAGTGTATCATTCTTCATCAATGCAATATTTGACCGTTTGATTGAATGCTTTTCAAAATTTCGGCTAATCCAATCCAATTCAAGAGGCTGAATGACACTTAATTCAGTATCAGTATCTTTTTGAAAATAAATCATAAAAGTTACGTATTTGTAATAAATGTTAATGGTATTACATACATAAGAACGGTTGCCGAAGTTATATACGTAATGTAATTTTCTATAAAATGTTCGTAATATTTCGAATTCACTTCTTATAAGAGAAAAAAATTAAAAAAAAATATACTCGAATACAGCAGAAACTTTAGATAAACTATAAATGTATATTAACATTATCTCCTAATCATTTTTGGGTTTCTCATTTCTGACCTATATTTCTCATATTCGGTATGTGGGGTTTAGGGAAAGGTATGGTCTGATTTCTCTTCATTTTAGTTCTTATATTCACGTATATGCGTCTTCAGTTAGAGAGTTATAGCACCTAATGCATTTTGAATAACAATGTCTACTGGAAATGGCAATAATCTGATCCCTCCCATTTGCAATGCAAATCTACTCAGATCAATAAGTTACATATGTTACACTAAGAGACGAGTGACATCGGGAAATTAAGTCGACTAATTATTGTTTAATATTTATAAACCATTATATGCTATAACTATCCTACGGGCACATTTTCGAAACCCTAATAATTTGAAAATTGAATACAAAAAATGCATGTGGGCACTTACCATCTCTGTACTCATCTTTAACATCGATGTATGCATACTCGAGACCAGAACCTTTTTTCGGATCTTCGACACCTTGCAATTTCGCAATGAGAGTGGTTTTGCCGGTGGCATTATCGCCTAATACTAGTACTGATTTATTTGACGGAAGTTTTGTGCTGCCTTGTTTTTGTACTTCACTCAAAATTGCAGACCTGCAAATATAAAATAAGACAAAAGAGTTAATAATAACATAATTGCATCAATCTAGGAACTACTTAAAGGAGTGACTAAATTATGATGCCCTGTGTACTAAGTAGTGTAGTAGAAAACATTGGAAAATCGGCGTGACAAACTGAGTTGATTTAGCCATGTCGGTCTGTCCATTTGTCTGTATACACGCGAACTATTCATTACAGTTTTTGAGATAACGATCTGCAATTTTGCAAACGCCTTTATCTCATCAAGAAGCTACTTATTTGTCGGAACCGCTGATAGCGGATCACTATAATATATAGCTGTCATACAAATTGAACGATTAAAATAAGCTTCTATATGGAAAACTTCTTCACGGCATTTAGCATGGATTATTGTTCAAAGCACCGCTACACATTCCCAAAAAGTTTTTAAGATCGGACCACTATAGCATTTATATAGTTGTCATACAAACTGGCCGTTCAAAATAAAGTTTTTGTATGGAAACTCTTTGATTTGTGACGGGTATTATAGCTTCGGTGCAACCGAAATTAACGGTTTTTCTTGTTGCAACTCATTTTGAGTAAAGTAATTGTTGTACAAATGCCAGTGTGTTGACCACCCACCAGATATAGCAGCAGTTAGTATGCGTCGACATTAGATCCATAAAATCACAAATTCTGCCAAATGCTAGAGCAACTGGCCATAAATTTAGAATTGCAGTTGTTTAAAATAAAAATATATAATTTAAGCACACATCTAAAGCTATCAACAACGAAGAACTTTGTGCAGCCAGCTGTCCAAGTAGCGGCTAATTTGGAACTTGCATGCGGCTCCACAAAAAAAAAGCACAATTCCTCGGAAAATGATTGTGGACAATAAAATATAACTATGTCAGGCCGCGTTTACAAATTAAATTATTCCACATGTTTTTGTAGCAAATTGGAGCATTGAATTGCCAACAAAATAAATATTTAAAAGTCACAAAAAGAAATAAAATATAAATTAGGTTAAAAGGCAGCTACAGAGTTAAAAACATAGCAATTACTAAATATACTGAACATTTTACTGCAATTGCAGCTTGTAGACATTTGGAAAAAGACAGCGGCAGTGAAATATATAGCTACAACTCTTTAAAGGGTGCACTCCGCCACAACTTACTGAGTGGTCGCGTCGCCAACGCAGAATTCTTCGAATAGAGAACGCTGTTTGAATCGCATGTCTTATGCGGAGGCAAAGCTTTGCCACAAGCGCTGTTGCTTTCAAAGTTGATTGCTTTCAATTTAATTATTATTACTCAATTCAATTAATGCAATGCAAATTGTCAATCATTTATTTAATTTCAATTATTATTTTCCAGATATGTACCGTTTATTCGTCGCACAATAGGCTTTTACGTGTTTTTTTTCCTGTTTTAGCACACAAAGCAATCACTTGTTTTGGCGTGGCTGCAACGTTGCCACTAAACTTTTCGACATGCAAATGGCAAAACAAAAGACATGAAAATTTATTTATCGCCTGTTTCAACGCGCAGTTATCCTTTTCTGGGTGCACTTGGACTAATAGTGGTGTTCAAGTGAGGCGCACTCGGTGTATTACTCACTTAGTGGCATACACATATATACTTGTAAGCACATAGTTAAAAGAGGTAGTTTCTGCTGGCCATGTCCACTCACAACGCCACCGACATTTAGCTATTTGATATATTATATATTTGAAGCATGTATATTATTTCAACAAACATTTTATTCTATTTCAATTGAAATCGTCGTCTATTGATTTTTTGAAGGTGTTTCCTTGTAACTTAGGAGTAACACGAACGTGATGCTCCATTACGTGTACTTACTCGTGTTATTAGTGGCTTTCGTTAGTTCGGGCTAGTGGCGACCGTTACGAGGGTGACTGAATAAATATTTGGTAATAATAAAAGACAGAGCTAACATCTTAAATTCAAATGTATGATTAGGTTAGGTTCAATAGCTGATCTTTTAGATATTGTACTACTAAATACAGTTGTTTGTGAAGCCAGCAAATAGAACTACTGCAATCAGATCTTATATAGCTCAGCGGAATGTCTGAAATGAAATAAATGTCTGAAAGTGTGAGCTGCCAGGTATTTAAGCCTTGATCTCGCAAAGGCGGGACAACCAATGAGAAAGTGTTGAGCTGCTTCAAGCTGGTCTTCTTTCAAGGCTTCTACAAATGACATCTGGTAAGATTCTCAACCTTACCGCGGAGATACCGCTGAGGCAATTACCAGTTAGTACTCCTAAAACTAGGAAATGGTGGCCTTATAAAGGGCGAAGAGTACGCTTGCAGGGTGTCAACTTTCTACCAAAAGGTTATTGCGACAGAACTAATGATAACCCAGCGTTGGCCAAGTTCCCGCAAAGCCCAACTATCGAGTAGTCGAACGCACGAGGAGAGCGGAGCTTCGATCCCTTCCCATTCTATTGACAGCGGGGATAAGGTGATTTTTTATGCCAGCTCGTAAGCTTTGCAGTTACAAACCTAGAACAACCTATTTACTAAAATTTGATAGACAGCGTCCAAAAGAGACCCAAATTTAGATGGGTTCACAAAAATGTATGAAAAGTCATAAACAAATTATGAACGCATTATAATTTCAAAGGATTCTTTAAAGTTAATAATCAAAAACTCAATTATTAATAAAAAATTAAAATTCTTAAAAAAAGAAAACAGTTATATTGACATAAGCAAAATAATAACAATAAAATCCAACTTCCAAGTATCAGGTTTGACATAAGTTTTTTTTGAATTAAATAAAATCTTCAATATAAATACTGTGGCCTTCGTAAATATTTGACATAACACTTTCTTGGTAAAATCAAGTCGCAAGTAAAATATTAACTGTTTTTCTATAAATCAAATGGGCTCAGCTTAATTTATAATTCACGTACTTATTCACGTACCCTCGTAAGCATTTATATATATATATGACTGAAATGCATATATTGTGAACAACAATTGTTTCCACTAAAAATCGACACACCACTTGGATTTTTCATATATTTAAATGAATGTTTTCAGTTAAAATAAAAACAAAATACACTCGTGACAAAAATATAAACATACAAGGTAACTTTTAGCTTTAACCGTATACTGTAATATAATGTTGTGAGCCACACTTTTAACTAAAATTTTAGCGGGAACACCTAGTGTGATATTAAAAAAAAATAGATTTTTTAATATTTCGATAGATTATACCTATGGGAATAACATACCAAATGATAAGCCAACAAATTTTACTAAATTTCAACTTTTCGTAAAAACGCCGCCATTTTTTTATTTATTTTTTTAGGTCGGTAGTATAGAACTCTGGTTGATATCGGCCTACATGCTTCATGACCACGAGGTGGAACCAGTTCCAGAGTTGCTCAGGAGAGCTCGGACATAAATGCTAGAAGGGAGTATCTATCTGTAGCGAAGATCTACTTATATTGTATGTAATAGGGAAAACTCTTCCACTTTTGTAACTGCGGGCAGAGAAGAAGTCACTGACCTAACTCCAATCTCAAAAGAACTGGCACGCTTGATCTCGGACTGGAGAGTTTTTAGCGACCACTCCTTCTCTTATATTAAGTATAATAGATTTAGTTTGGACTGAGTGCGTCCAGCTATTAAACTCTATAGAAATTCTAGAAACACGGATTGGGATCTATACTACAGAAAGCTTTCATCAGTTCTTGCGGTTGCGCCACGTACTCACAGCCATTGCGATTGATGTGGTCTTCAGTTCAGTTTGCAGAACTTCTCTTTAACGCTCGTGTCGTCTGAAAACTCAGAAAGCCAAAGGAAAACGCCTTTGGTAGACATCGAAACTATCAGAGATCAGATCTTCAAGTAAATGACTGTTCAATAAAGGCTACAAAAGCGGTTCTAGCGGCGACTGGGCGCTGTATCGTGTATGTGGTCGATCCACACATAATTAAGGGTAAGACCGTTAGCTTCTTATATTCTTCTTAGATAGATCGAATAATGTAAGGGAATATTTACAGCAAATATAATATTTTCCAAACAAAATTTAACGGACTTCATTTATATTTCACAACAGTGTGAATTTTTACATATGCATACATTATTAGACAGGTTTACACCAACGGTTTTCTATTGTACGCACATAGCACAATTGAAGCCGGGCAAAAGGAGTTGCACATACATACAAACAGTTGTAACTACAAAGAGTACATGCAACACCCGTGCGCGTTGGCATGGTGCACGAAAGCCCAAACGAAAAATATTTTTCACTACACCATCTATTATTACCACTAAGTTGCAGTTATTTTCAATTTAGCCGTAACACGGGCAGGATAACCAACCATTTGGCATTTTTTCCTACCAATTTAATTTGTGAATGCGCAAAAGTGTCTCTCAAAAAGAGCGAAAGAAGTGAAAAAAAAACATCGAAACGAAAAATGAAATTCGGAAAAATGTGCATTTAAGCGTTAGAAAATTAATGATTAACGGTATTCAAGACGAATTTTGGTGTTTATTTGAAATTTTATAATGATATTGCTCAAGAAGCGACGCTCACAAAGTGAAAGTCGAAAAGTGGAACAGTCCCGCAAGAACGCGTTCGATAATCGCGCGGAAGATAGATTGTTGCAACAAAAACAACAACAAATCATACAAAGTTTTGCATTTGGAGATACAACAGCCACAAACAGTTTGGAAAGACGCAAAACATCAGCAGAAATGATTAGCGAAGCCAAGTCCATGTTAGCGGAGATTTCGTCGAAAACGTCGCATAGCGGCAGTGATGGCGGCAACAACAACAACAGCAATCGCATAGGAAGTAAGTGTGAGCGCATAAATTAATTGTGTTTAAAAATCTATATTGCGCGCTGTATAAATAGAAATAAAATAAATTTATTTGCATTATGTGCTACACTACTTCGCATTTTACTGTTATTCACGGCACTTAGTTGGTGGTGTGCGAGTGGTCAGCACGCGTCGTCCCATCACGCCACGTGAACCTGGACGCGCACTCTACGGCAAG